AACTAGACCGTTGGAAAAAGACATCGTCGTTGTATGTGCGGGAATAGGCACAGCTTAACCACCTTGCTCCAGTGGCAGGTAAACCTCAAGATGACCGGGGCCAGTTCGGACGCAGGGACTGACAAAGCTCAACAACCTGCCTACAATACGGCTCCGAATTCATGCAACATGCTGACATTTGCGAAAGATTGATACTCACTCGCTAATCGGCATTGACTAAGGTTGTAATACTGATTAGCATGTAGCCTATTCTCACGTCATTTCATTCACGACAGGATGCCGGCGTTTTAACGAGCTTCGTTCTGATCTCTAACTAAACGTATGTAGTGTAAAAAGTGGATACTTAAGTGGTATGCATTTTTATCAGTGATTTTGACTGCCTTTATAAATTCAAATATCTTTTATTAAAAAAATGAACGGAAAATGTTGATCAATAAGAGCAAGTCATAGGGTATTGAAGAGTGGGTCCAACTATCCCTCAGAAGTCTCTAACATTCAGTAGGTACAAAATGCTCACCCGGTAAAACAACACTTACTGTGTGTGAATCTTGATCACGCGTGGGCTCAAGAGTAGTGGTTATCTCCTTCGAGGTTGCGGAGTCGTTATGAAGGAGTGGTGGTTTGCCGGGACCCGTGTGGTTCGGGGACGTGGCCACAACTTTGACAACGTCCGGATTGCCAGCCAGGATGTCCCACACTCGACAGTAGAGGGTGGTAAGACAGTTTACAATTTGCGTGACATCCATCATGCGACCATCACATCCTTCGCCACAGATAGGCAGAGCGAGTCCGTGACGTGCAAAGGTCTCCGTCACGGCATTCAGGGGAAGTTGATCGACTGAAATGAAGGAAAAAAACAGAATCAAATTCAGACCGCTATTTGTCTTGCATCAATAAAATGATAGGAGTAGATCGCGGGCAACGGCACTGACACTCGTCAAACTTACCTCAGAGGAGTAACTTGGCGCATTGTTTAAAACACTAAAGGTACGATGAAAGAGTGGTATTTAACCCAGCCCTCCTCATCAAACAGGACTTTTGGTGAAACCGCAGGTCATCCCCACAAGAAAGCCTCAAAGGAGGTGCAGATATAACTGCCCCTCCCCCCACCCC